TTCTTGAAAATGATGTCTGTACTTTGTCTCCAGTTTCTCTCTTCCTGTTCTCTTGTGAATCCAGTCTAGTTAGTACATTTATTTCACCAAAGCTATCTTGTGAAGTTTACCAAGTCGGTGATCTCCATGCTGCTAAATCCAAAGATTAATTCTCATCTTTTTTTTTTTCTTTTTTTAATCAACAGCTTTTTGAAACAGTTGATTACATTCTTCCTTGAACCACTTATTCCAGTTAACTTTCAAGATATCTACCATACTCTCTTTGGTTTTCATCTCCCTCGCTGGCTGCTCCTTCTCTAAACCATGAACTAGACCATGTTATTTCCATTTATAATAGGAGGAAATTAAATCAGACAGAAGCTAAGCAACTTGTGTAAACATACGTACATTTCGGGCAGCGGGAAGACTAGAAACAACCCCTATTGTCTGAATTTCAGACCCCAGTTTTATTTAAGCCTAAATCAAATGAAGAGCTTTTAATTTTCAAGCCTGTGGTTCAGAAATTATTGAACTTTTGTCGTTTAAGATCAGTAGGATTCCCTTTATAGTATTCACTTCATTTGAAACTTTTAAGCTGCAGTAGAAGAAAATTTCTATGTCTCAAGATGGTGGGCCTTTTAGATAGACCTGACTCTCTACTTAGAGTAAATTCTGTGTATCAGATGTGTAGAATCCTCTTTGGAGTATGGATGAGAGAACTATACAGTTGGGTTAAAAGTAGTACCACTATAGAAAATGGAAGACACATACAACATTGTTATAGAGTATTATGACAACCAGAGAGCAAATTCATTTCAATAGAATATTGTTAAGTTGTATTTGTTTTTCTTTGTAGATACAGGCAGCTTTTCATTTTACATGCTAATTATAGGTCTATGAAACCTGTATTACTAAAATAGAGAAACTGTTCTTAGTTAATATGGCAATTTTCCTAGACCAGGTATGGTATTCTTGAGTTTTATTTATTTTTATTTTACTGAAATTCTTGAGTTTTATTTATATTTATTTCATCTGCCCATCAACTTATAATTTTAAAAACATTTATCCATGTGATCAAGCAAAAAATTAGTTCATAAGGGCAAGGAAATATTTATGTGACTGCAGTCGACCTATTAAGAAAACGTTGCTTGACATAGTTCTAGAATTTGAGGAACCCTTATTTTAAAAATAATGGCTAAGTGTATTTACTGCACATTTTATTGAGCTCCAGTGAAATTGGTCACATCTTGTAGTTTGTCCTAATTAATAGCTACCCTAGAATGTAATGTCTTCTGTTAAAAAAAAGAAAACCTGTTCAGCTGGTTCAGCTGTCTTAACCTGACGAAATTCATATTTTAACTTTGAGTGTGGTAATGACTACCCAATTACAGATATTTTAGATACTATTTTCAGCCTTTAAAATATTTGGCCATTGTTTAAATACTATTGAGTAATGAAGTGGGTTGAGGGGAACATGGGAAAAGTTTTTTAAAATGTTTAAAGAAACGAAAAGTTAAGATTCATCTAAATCATTTTATTTTATAGCTTAGGAAACTAAGGCCAGAGAGAATAATTGGTCTATTTTTTGTGTTTATAATTTTGCCTTTTCCGCAATGTCATATTAATGGAATTGTTCAACTTGTGGCCTTTGGGGTCTGGTTTCTTTCCTGTAGCAAAAATGCACTTAAGATTCATCCATCTTGCATGAATTAACAGCTTCTTCCATTTTGTTGTTGAGAGTATTCTGTTGTGTAGATACTCTGTTTATCCGTTCACCTATTAAAGGACATCACATCTTCACTGAAATGAAGATACATGTACTGGTTTTGGTGTGAACATACATACATCTTCATACATGTATTGGTTTTGGTGTGAACCTGTTTTCAGTTTGTACTGGTAAATACTTAGGGGTATAGTTGCTGAGTTGTATGGTAAGCTTTTGTTTATTACCTTTATAAGAAATTGCCTAACCTCCTTCTAACATGGCTGTACTTACCTTCATTTTTGAAAGATATTTTAGCTGGGCTTAGAATTCTTTGTTGATAGTTTTCTTTTTTCTGTACTTCAAATATATTGAACCACTGTCCTCTGATTTGCATTGTTTCTGATGAGAAGTCTGATGTCATTCCTACCTTTGTTACTCTATGTATTTTTTCCCCTGCTTTAAGATTCTTGTTTATTGCTGTTTTGTAGCAGTTTTACTCTGAGATGTTATGATCATGTGGTTTTGTTGTTGTTATTCTCTTTAGAGGTGGTGAATTTGGATCTGTGAGTTTATAGTGCTCATCAAATATATTAAAAAGAATTAGTTCCAGTTTCCCCTCCTTGTGCTTCAGCCTCAAAACTCTACAGGCGTGAGCTGGGTGCACTATATTTGTTCCTTTTTCTTGATGATCTCTGTCCTGAGAAGATTGTTGTGTGATGTCTGGAAACCATTGTTTCATATATTTTGTCTAGTTTTCTGTTTATTTAAGGTAGAAGGGTAAACATAGCCTCTTTTTTTCATCATGAAATACACCCTTGCCTTATAGAAAATTTCATTGTAGTTTTGCAAATATTTGTCTTTTCTGAATTCTTGAATATTTATAAGACTTAGTGGGAGAACAGTGTATAAACCTTAATAAATTTTGGCACCTAGGGTGCATGCTGTCTCTCATGTTTGTTCCTTTTCACAGTCTGTCTCTTTGACTTATTGTACATCCTTTCATTTCCAATATGAAGGTTATCAACATAATTTATTGCTGAATATTTTTATTTAATATAGTACGATGAAGATAGTGGTGATAGATGTTAACTTTTCATGTTTATTTGGAAGAAAATACAGTGTCTTCAGTCATTTTTCTCTGTATTAAAAGGAGATAATGATTCTTATTTCAGTATAGAATATTAGCTCCCACATTGATTAGAGTATGGTGGCTATGGATTGAAACTCCAGGCCATGAAATATTTCCAATTATCCCCAGAAGAGGAAACAAAGCAAATAATAAACAGATTTTCCCTTCATATGAAAATCCATAATTCTTCAAAGTTAACTTTTATCTGATAAATTCTTACAGATTAAATATTAATATGTATTGTTATGGTATTAGCATATAAAATTCAGTCCTTATCTTTGGTATATAATTAGGTTATGTTAAAGATGTATACAGCATTAGTGTATTGAAAATTACCTTACCTGATTGTAGATTTCCAACATTCTTTTGCTGACATTAATATAATTGAAGGTAATTCATAGACCCTAAATATTATATAAGAAGGAAAACATTTTATTCTGTAAGTACTGACTGAAATTTTGCGTTATTATCCGCTGAATTCAGAGTCACCATGTATGTATTAATGGTAAAGCAAGTACTACTTTACAATTTAATATTATAAAACACTAATATTAAAACAGTTAATATTTGGAAGATGCATAATAAAATAATCTTGCTCTCTTTTTGTGACAATCGTGAAAATTTGAGTTGGATCCAAATGTGCATCATTTAACAATTCCTGAATATCCAATTCACTTGGTAACTTTTCCTTATGAAAACCTCATTGCTTGCTAAATGATAAAGATTACATTTATAGTAGTAAGTATGCTTTTAAAACTTTACTCCTTTGTTGTTTTTGAAAGAGACATATTTAATTCCAAAGGTACTTATAAATTTGGTAATCAGCAATTACAATTTTGTCATACAGCCTGACATCTTGAAGTATTTCAGCTAAACGTACACTGTAAGATAGTCAGACTTAAGTAAAAATACACCTCCCACTACCTTTGTGATCAAACATAAAAGAGGAGCCAGAAGATAGGTTTTTGTCACCTGGGTTCTTTTTAAAACTTAAATTTAGTAATATTCATTTTTAATGATTTGTTTTTAAAAAAAAAAAAAATGTTCTGCCCGTATAGATTGCTTTTTAGAGGTACTCCATATATATATGTACATGCGTGTTTGTTGGTTTTAATAATACTGATTCACTCTCCTTATAAATTATAGATTATATGTTACCTCTTCACAAAATATGTTTGTTGATATTAAATAATTGTTCTGAATTTGAATATAATCTTTAGTGGCTAGCAAGATTATTAGTTCAGTAGGTATACATACTACTTCCTTAGGGAGAATGTTTAACCAAACTTAGCTAAGAGATGTCTGTCTTGAAAATGCATATTTACAAATTGTTTGTATACCCACCTTTGAATATTTGAACTCTCATTTTCAATATTCATTTTAAAGATAGCATTTCTTGTGGCTGTCACCTCAGCTTCAGTGATTTTTTTTTTTTTTTTTTGTGGGAGGTGGTACCTCGAGTGCAAGTCATTTTGAACTTATTTATATCTCTGCAGTTTAAGAAATTAGCCCCATCATTTTTTCGCCCAGTGTAAAAAAAGTGAATTCCCTATTGGAGTATGTGTGAAATTGGATGACTGAAAGACGAAAGCATCAATGGAAGTTGACATTTTTTGCTCTTCTTTTTGGAGTAAAGCTTAATAGAATATTGAGTTAGGTTTGTATCTCTTGAATATATGTTGCATTCCCATTTTGTTGTATGGGAATAAACCTACACAGAATGAATCAGTAGCTGTGTGAGTAACTTATATTTTCTATCTATCACCATATATATAATCATTTGGAGGGGAAGGATTTGTCATTAAATGATTGAATATGAATTGTATGTTTTTGAGATAACTGAAGAAGATAAATGTAAAAGAAAAAAATATCACTTGTGGGAGGGGTAAACTTTTTTGTCCATTTCATTTTTTATTCACTGTAAATTTCTCCCTTGTGTATGATGTCTGGCAGACAGTCTTAATTGAAGAAAGTAGAAGTGGGTAGGAAGAATGTTTCATATTTAATAATTTCTGTTGCAAATAAAGTATGCTAGTCTAGCCCACAAAAATGATTATGAGGAAGACTGGTTGGAGTATAGAACAATTACTTTTTTTTGTTTTCTGTGTATCATATTGAATATTTTTGCTGCTGTTGATATATTTATGTGTTAGTAATTTTGACGGCTTTTGGATAATTCCACTCTAGAGGGAGAAGTGGTGGGCGGTCCTTCCTGTGACACGACCCTTGAGTGACAGTTCTATTTGATTGCCTCCGGTACTGTGAGGAAAGGACACGACTCTATGGTGAGGACTGATGGACATACATTATCTGAGAAAAGAAACTACCAGGTAAGACCAGTCTTTTTTCTTTTTTCTCTATTGATCTTGTAGCTATTTTGAAACTGTTTGAATGTGTTATATGTAATTGGAACCAGCAAATTCGATACACCTCAGTTTGAAAATTTGGGTTTATAATTTTAAATTAAGTACTGGATTTGATAGTTGAAACAGTTGGGAACACTTTTCAAAATAAAGCATATTCATAATGTATATTCTTTTAGTGTGTCAAATCAGGTTTTCTGAGATGTTTGTCAAAACTTAGATTATATGATATACAAGTTATGACTTCATAACTGGATTCAAAGCTAGTAAAAACGAAAGTGTTTATTTATTATTATTCCTGGAAGACTAAACCCTAAGTCTTGTGCTATATTTTGGATAACAAAGTATATGTCCCAGAAATGTAGACAAAAGTGAGTATAGAAGAAATAGAAATGAGAAACCCAGGGTGCTCAGAGACCCAAATTCTATTGAATTTGTTATTAGTTTGCTGTCCTTAAAATGCTAGATTCTTGTTTTCTCATTTAATAAAGTGGTTAATCATATCCATTCCTTATTCAGTGTGTAGGAAGGCTGAAAGAATAGTGGAAATGTAACGTTGCTATTTCTGAACTTTGAAAAGAAGGTGAATTTTAAAGATTGTGCTATTAGACAGTGATTTAAAGAAAACCAGCATATTTGAATTTAGTTTTTTAAAGGAAATATCCTTTATTCATTTGATAGTGATCTGTTATCACATTTATTTAGTTATCCGGAATACAGAATACTTTAAAGCTTGAGTACAAATAAACTTTTAGGCTTCCTGCGCAGATATGTGTCCAACCTCTCGACCTCCCACACTTCCTTTCACTCATCAGTTCATTCTCTCTAGGTTGTGAAGGCAACTAGTATGATAGCAGCAGCTTTGGTTAACCGTTTATCTGCTAACCATTTATTTTAGCCCAGCTAATCTTTCCTTCCCTCAAATTGGAAAAGTGAGCAGTGGAGCAAATTGTAAATTAGTCTTTTTGGTGTATCGTATAACAAAGAGCCTTTGACTATAAGATCTGGGTTCTGGTTTAGGCACTGTTCCTAATTAAAAATAATGTCATATTTAACCTTTCTAGAATTTTTTTCTAACTTGGTGTCTAAAGTTTCTTGCCAGATCTTTATGATTTTAATAAACCAGAGAAAACTGAGGCTATGCTGAATCAGTTTTCTCTGTAAGCTTTCTTCTGAGTTGCCCTCATAGACTTGACCAACATAGCCTTTGCTAATTATTTGTACTCAGGTGTAGCTCCTGCTCCCCAACCGCTTCCAATTACCTTGACTCATAAGATTTTAATTGGTCACACTTCTTGGACTTCTGCATCTTTTGGTAGGTTCTGCCAAATTATTTTAAGAATTTTGTGATTCTGAATTATGTAGCTTTTCAGTGCTCATAATCCAGTTTGTAAAGTGTGAATGTAGAATTTTTATGTAATTACACACTGTAGTTAATTTGTCTCATGGAACCATATTAATATAGAATTCCAAAATTTATAGTTAAGAAAGAAAACAGAATTAGGTTTTATACATGAAGACATCTGCTTATTCTTGCTCATTCTACACTAAAAATACTCCATTGTTCCAGTCACATTATTTACAAATAATCCAGGTTTTTTAGCATACCTGGAAAACGCATTTTTGGTTATGGTTTTGCTGCCTCAAAATGTCGTCCCTTTTCTCTCTTCGTTTATTGATACATAGTTGTACATATTTATGAGGTACGTGTGGTATTTTGTCACATGTATGGAATGTGTATATAAGAATGTATGGGAAATTCAAAGGAATGTTCATCACTAAAGTAACATTTGTATTTGTACTGGTAGTCTAAGAATTTTTATATTCTTAATATATTCATCATAATACCTAACAGGAAATTCTGTTTCTATACATGTGCTTTTCAGAGTAGGGTTCAAAAATAATTTTACAATCCAGCTTTAAACAGCTGTTTCCAAGGATACTTCAATATGCATTTAGCATCACTAAGTAAAAACAAAAGAGAAAAGGGACATAGAGGGATAAATTCTAGTGTTCCGTAGCAGAGTAGGGTGACTATAATTAACAAGGTATTGTATATTTCAAATAGCTAGAAGAGAGAACTTAAATCTTCCGAATTGATAAAAATGATTTTGGATTTTTAAAAATTCTATTTTGGAGGAAATGTATTTATTTTCCAAGGATAAAGTAGAATTTTGTTGTGTCTATGTTTATAACCATTTTCATTTATCTTTGAGGGCTTTTGCTTTTGAGAGATACTTTGTATTTATTCGAACATTCTGATAATAGGCTAATACTCCAGAGTTTAACAAGAATTTTTGTAACATTTCTCCAGGTCTCATTTCCTTACGGACCTGATTAAAGCCTTAGGAATTTAGTTTAGGAAGGTACATTCCCTCGGCTATGTGCTAAAGACAGTGACTTTTAAATGGGCATGGTTTGAAGTATTAATTTTTATGGTGGTATCTACTTTGTGTGTTTCCTTTCTTACTATAAATTTAAGCCCAGTTAGGTATTCAGAGTTTGAATGCAGTAGTTGAAGTTTATTTGCAGAGATAGACTTGCATGTTAGTTCAGATAAAACAATTTATTTATATGGCTCACGGTTCACTTTTGGATTGTCAAGGTTTTTCCAAGGAAATGCACCTTCAGTTTTTGTAAGCTTTTTCTTATCTTCCTCTAATTTAGACTAACTTACCCTAACTATGAGCATGCGCATGCACAAATATAAACCATCTTAATTACCAATGTAACTAATCAATGGCTTTCCCTTTTTTGTTTTTTTTTTTGGGGGGGGGTTGTTGTTGTTTTGAGATGGACTCTCACTCTGTCGCCCAGGCTGGAGTGCAGTGGTGCACTCACTGCAACCTCCGCCTCCCGGGTTCAAGCTATTCTCCTGCCTCAGCCTCCTGAGTAGCTGGATTACAGGTGCGCGCCACCACGCCCAGCTAATTTTTGTATTTTTAGTAGGGATGGAGTTTCACCATGTTGGTCAGGCTGGCTTCGAACTCCTGACCTCGTAATCTGTCCGCCTCGGCCTCTGGAAGTGCTGGGATTACAGGTGTGAGCCACCCTGCCCGACCCTGCTTTCCCTTTGTTAGGTAGCATATTCAAGCTTCTAAACATTACATTTAGACTTCCCACATTCTGGCCTTCTTAACATACATTTACCTTTCCAGTATCTGTCCTGTTACTCTTTGTAGTAGATTTTCCCATTTAGTGATACAACACTACTTTTAATCTCCCTGCCATGCAGTTTTAAATCCACAAGGGTTTACTTATATTGGTTATTTTCATGTAATGCCTCACCTTTGTTCACATGATTCAAGAATTAAGTGTCAGTTTTTCCAGACGTCACCCTATGGTAGACTCAGTGTTCCTTTCCCTTTCTTTCATAGCCTTTAACATACTTCTAGTTTAGAGTTTACCATAATACATTGTAGTTGTGGTTATTTGTCCTTGTCTTCCTGTAGACTTGTGCAGTCCAGTGCCATAGGCACTAGTCACAAGTAGCTATTTAAATTTAAACTCATTTAAATTAAATAAACTTGAAAGTTCATTGGTCACATTAACCACATTTCAAATGCTCAGTGGCTACATGCTGCTAATGGCTACTGTATTGAACAGTACAGGTACAGAACATTTCCATCATTGCAGAAAATCGAATTCGATAATACTGCTGTATCTAATAAGCTTCTTGAAAACTGGGACCGTATCTATTTATTTTGGTACTGCCAATACCTAGCTTGGTGCCTGGTATGTAGATAGGTGTTCAGTGCATGTTGTTCCAATAAAATTAAACAAAACAGTGAAAGAAGGGAAAGGAAGAAATGGAAAGTATACTGGGTAACATACCATTGTAAGTGGTATGGAAAAATAGAGGTATTTTCAAGATATTTAGATGTTACTTTAAGTGGAACTTTTCAATATGAGGTCATTGGTCACATCATATGCTAGCTCATTCAATGCATTATCTACAAACTGGGTCTAATGCATCCTAGTCCATAGGTTTCTGAAGAATGATTCATAACCTAAAACACTGTATTTTTGTGGACTATAGTATGTCAGAGAACTGTAACAATGATTGTATTGCCGTTTTCTTCCCCAACATTAAATACTTTACTTCCTTTTTATTAACTTTAAAAATCACATGCCCATTACCAAAACGTTGAAGAAAAATACGGAATATAAAGTAACAATGAGAAAGTTTGCCTTGACAACTTTACTCTTAAGAGTTTGTTGTGTACCTTTTCAGATCTTTACTAGTGACTATATAGTGTAGCTGTGATTCATTGTCTTTGTCTTTAACAAATGTGTATTTTCCTGCATTGTACTTAATGGAGCTGTTTCCGTTTCCCATTCTTTCCTCTGCCCTCTTCCCCAGAAGTAATCAGCAGTTTTAATTTTGTGTTTCATTCTTTATATTTTTATAACTTTATTACATATATGTGTTTCAGTATATTGAGGTACATCTTTTTATGTATTGTGTGGCAATTTTTTGGAAAGTGGTGCCCCATATTTTATTATTTTGAGTAGGAAAAATCATAATGAATTTTCAGCCCACTCAAGACCCTAAACAATTTCCTAGATATAGCTAAAGTACTCAACACCTACTTGACAATTCACCAAGGATTTCTCCATAATACAGAGTATTTAAAATACAAGCTACTTAATATAAACAGAAACAAATGAATCACTAAGTATATTTCCATTTAGTATGTGCTGTATTCAGATCATTTTTCTTTTATACTGCAATAAAAATGTAATTGTAAATAAACAATTAAATGTATTTCCTTTCTTTTATTGTGAGTGGCACATTATTGAACATTTTTTTCTCCCTGAAGTTCAGGATGCATCTTACACCTTATGGTGACTTCGAGTCATGGTTGTGACAAACAGTACCAGCACCAAAGCATCTTAGAATCTATGATATATAGTATATCAGAGATATATAATGAATATAAAGAACACTTAATGAAATAAAATCA